TATCAACATTAGAATAACATACTGACCATATTCTAACATTTCATCATGTTGAGCTAACGTTATATAACATTGATTTGTTTTATGTACATTTGCTCGCCTGTCTAATAAAGCTGTCAAGTGACTCGTGAAGCTCTGTCAAGTCCAAGTTAGTCGCGGACGTGGAGCTCTCGGCATCTCAAAAACGCCACGCTGATATTGATCCTCATTTTAGTTCTCCTTGTTTGTCCCAAAGTCTGCTTGCCATGGTCTATGTTTGAAAGAAACAAGAACTGCGTGCCGCTAAACGTTACGTACTACGCAGTTGTCCACGTCTGTCGCCATGGTTACGTCATGGCTATGGGACTATGAACGGAAACCGAGGATAGCGCGGATATTTCGTCATTGACAGGCGAAATTCTTTTCCGGGACGGCCACTTATTTAAAATTGGAATTTCTCTGAAATACAATATCTCCAAAGATTTTTTAAGTACACAACTGCAGAAAATATATCACACTGTGCAAGTGATTTTTGGATATTTTATTACAAAATTCTTACATATTGTACCTTTAACTATCTTATTTAATTTATTATACATTTACGATCACATGTATGCAAAAATCACATTCTCTGGGTGGCCTAATAATAATTTTAAAAGATTAGTTTGCTAAAATTATTTAATTCTGTCATCATTTACTCTCCCTCAAGTTGTTTCAAACCTGTATGAATTTCTTTCTTCTGTTGAACACAAAATTGAACTGGTTTTGGGGATGATGCACTTGATCTTTCAGGCGTCTTTCGAGAGTGTAACATGAGTGTCATACGTTTACAGAGTCATGATGAATGGCTGTAAAGAAAAGGCTGTGTTGAAAGCCCTTAAAGTCATCATGATTGACCCCATTTACTTTGTTAGCGCACATTACTAGTCTTGTGGTGAACAATTAATCTGTGCAAGTTAATATACAGAAACATTTGTTTTTTTTTGTGGTAGCCTTTAATCAAAATCTGAAGATTTGCATCCTCTCTGGAATGGCGTTCCTTCTCTGATGACGTTAGTTTGGAAAAAGGAAATAAGTCACAACACTTCAAGTAAAGTGTTGGAAATACGTCAAAACACTGAAGTAAAGTCGGTTGCAACTTCCAGTTCACAGGGACTTTAAATGGAGATGATACGAGCAGGTTTTATGTCAAATGACTAACCTTGGGCATGCAGTCGTTCATTTAGAAAACGCCAAATTCATTAACATCAGAATAACGAGGTTAAGAACAAATCCATGTGCGCACGAATTAGGTGGATTCCATCAATTATTAGTGAATGAGACCCATTATGCTCTCATTGAAAGTGACATGTGAAGGCCAAGTAACCCATACTTGGAATTTGTCCTCTGCATTTAACCCATCCAAGTCAGTGCACACACACACACACACACACACTGCAAACCGTGGACACACACACCTGGAGCAGTGGGCAACCATTTTTTGCTGTGGCGCCTGGGGAACGATTGGGGGTTCGGTGCTGATATTGAGAATCGAACCCGCAACCTTTGGGTTACCAGACTGACTCTCTATTAACCGTTACGACACTCACATTCCACACGCCACACATTCTCAATGGTTATCCTCATTAAAATCTCATTACTTTAATGTAGTATTTGTTACTGCACCACTTTTCTACAAATCAACTCCACCTCTGCCAAGTCTACACCATGCAAGGTCAGTTTTTATATTGTACATTTATATACTGCAGTCTGTAGTCACACACATTTAAAGACACTTTGTTTTTGCGTTTTATTTATTTTTTATTTAATATTACCGGTTTATGGTATATTTTAATCCATAATAATATCAGACTGAACTCTATCTTATAGATCTTAGCTCCATATTTCAATTTTGACAGGAATGAAAACAATGCTGTGAGGGACAAAACTGCGTTCAATGTATTGCACCGTTGTTGAACAACAATCAGATTGCTGAAACTCTGTCATTAATTAATTACTCGCCCTCATGCCGTTCCAAACCTGTAAGACTTTCGTTCATCTTCGGAACACAAATGAAGATCTTTTGATGAAATCTGAGAGCTTTCTGTACTCCGCATTGACAGTTACACAACGACCACTTTGACGCTTCACAATGTTCATAAAGAGATTGTAAAACTAATCCATATTGAGCGGTTCAGTCCAAATTTTCTGAAGAGACTCGATCGCTTTATATGATTGAATTCTGTCATTAATTGCTCACTTCATGGGTGTAGAGGGAGAGTAATTAATGACAGAATTTTCATTTTTGGGTGAACTATCCCTTTAAAGCTAATCAATCTTTGGAAATGACTAGAAAATAAGTCACTTTTTACTTTTGTAAGTAAATTGGAAAGGACAAGGCAGCCAAATGGAGAAATCTTAAAATGGCATCTTTGTATTGAAAATAGCCTCGACTCTGAAGTGACGTCTCAGAGCAAACAGCTGAGAGGGACATAAGGCACTTGAAATCCTAACAGCTCCTTTTCAGTGTCAAAACCAGAGCCACCGCTCACAAGAGAACGTTTACAATACATCCACAGTGAATTCAAGCAAGTTCTCGCACTTTCACTTCTTGTGTCTCTCCGGAACTGATGCAAGCCCTCAGATTCCCTAAAAAGTATGCAATGCAAAAATGTCTCTTTTGCATTCCTGAAATAAAACCCTCTCCTATAATACAACTAAATATCAAGCACAGTTAACCACAACATGACACCTTGTGCTATTATGTAAAATTTCTATTCAAGAATTCAATTCAATAGGGACCCTGAACCAATCAAACCCTGAACACAATCTATATCGCTGCATAATTCACTACAGCTGGACGCTCCACTAGATTAAACTGCAGAACAGCTGTAAGCACAGGAAAAACACTTGACAATGGTCATAAAACAGGCCACATCTCATACTGACAGACTATATAAAAGAGCTTTCCTCCAGCCTAATGAGCCTATCATATAATTCCCGCTTTTTCTTAAACTCAGCTTCAATTCAGTGTCCTACACAACATTTGTTTCAACCTCTCCATTACAAACTGATGTCTTCAAATAAATGAGCTCCACGTGTGACATCCACATTTTAATGCAAGTCATATGGTGCAACCCCTTGCCATGAGACCAGTTGTGGCTTTTATTTTTATTTAACTTTTATTTAATCGTATGATGTGTGCTGTATCGTCCATGTCGAAGTCTTCAAGGTCACAAGACGAGTGGGTTCTTCTCAATACTCAAACTCCTCCATCCATTGACCCAGAAATCAATGAAGGAAGTCTTCTCCAACTGCACTGTGAGAAACGAGGAGTGAGGACTCTTCCAGAGGCGCTAAGAAAAGCCATTGCCGTCGAAAAACCTCACACGTGTATAAATTCTACTCCTCCTTCACGACACAATGATTTTAACTTACGTTTACCTTTGCATAGGGGTGAGCGACCTGACGATTTTATACTGCGATCGATCTTGAAGAGGTCCACGATCTGCCTTTCAAGCAAATTGGCAATAGAAATGGAGAAAATATTCTAAAAGTGGAAATAAAGTGTTTAACATGCGTTTTTAATAATAAAGTGTTTATCGGTTAGGGGTTTAGGGAGGGCTTTATTGTCCCAATAAGGTGGCATCCATTTAATAATTGTAATCATTTACATTATAGCCTATTATTGCATACCGTTTAATGTATAACACTGAGGTGCTAATAGTGGCTCTGAATGAGCCAGTGGAATGGACTTGACTGAGATGCGAATGCGCTGAATTAGAGACAGTAATGTGAGTGACAAAATGTCCATCTTGGCGAGTATTTACATAAGGACAGTCAGTAATGTCTTAAGTGAATAAACAGTTGGGAAAGAAATTGGATGTGTGTCATTATATTAGATCCATGCATTCGGTCTCAAAACCTAAAACCTGCTGTCTCTGTCAATAATGTTAAACAAAAGAGACAAAATCACTCACTGCTCTTGACTGAATCAGAGTTTAATTACCATTTTGACAACTGATTGTTAAATGCAATACTGTGTTTTAAATTGTGCAAATATAGAAGTCCATAGGTTTGTTCCAATCTGGATATTATCGATAATACATCTCAAAATTGGGAAGATCGCGATTTAGATCATGATATGAAATGTTGGGAAGATCACAAAGATCACTACCTTTGCAGTTTAAATAAAGTGCATTTCACATATTTCGACAGGGCTTCTCGCTTTATATGAATGTCTTAAACCACCAAACCTCAACATGAGGAACCTTTGGGCGCAGCTTATGACATTTTCAAGTGATCAAGAATACTCCAATTTACAAAGAAGTTGTGTTTCGATTTCTCAGTTTCATTCACTACATCCTTTCCTAACACTGAGCAGAGCCGGGAGCGAGGGAAGTAACGGATGCACATTTAAAGAGATTAAACCCAGTGTCAAAAAACACTTCTGTCTTCTTCCACATTTTTACCCTATAGCCTTTTGACTGTTAGAAGTGCTGACTGAAAAATCTGATATTTCATTATTTAGAGATCTAACTCTTGCTTCAATTTCAAGCAAATTCAGGTTAATTTTTCCAATTAGGTTTTTCTCAGATGTTAGGCTGATAATGCCCTGTATTAGTCATTTTTGTTTATATTCCATTACAAAAATGGAAACCAGAAACTGTTTCACTTATCTTTGGACCACACTATAGCTTCCATATCTTTACACAGATACAACCAAAAACCCTTAATAAACTAACTTATACATAAATCCATCTAGGCATATGCACAACTCTGTATTATTATTCACATGCTTGCATATATATTGCATTACACATTTATTACATGCATATGACTAAAGCATAACGCAGCAGGTTCACTTTGAAACACACCGAACGCGATGAATAAAATCCGCTACGAGTGTAAGAAAGTATGCAGTAAAATTAAGACTTAATGTAAAGTCAACATCATAATGGCACTTCACAACTAATCTGTAACACTTGACTGAAAAGGATGATGCAATTGGCGAGGATTTAAAGCTGTAGCTCATTTCAACTCACCTGAAAAAAGCCTGGAGATAAACCTCACATACATTGGGATAAAAGTGTTCAAAAATAGGGAGAATGTTGTCCCCCCTCCGCCTAAAATCTTCCTTTCTCGCTCAGGTGACTGGCTTTCGCATGAGAGCCATTACCGATGCCCGGTGACGTCATCAGACGCGGCCCGACTCTCCGCAGATCTTCACAACATCATCAGTGAAGCGCGCGCCGGACGGCAGATGATGTTGACATCACATTTTCTTATTCACGACACTCCTTTGTTGTTTTTGCAAGGAATCGTTTGTTTTTTTTTGGCGTCGTTGTGAATAGAGCTTGTTAGACAAGATAATGTTTGTATTTGTTAAAATTGCTCTTGGTGCTGAATTTGTTACTACTAAGTAAAGACGAAGCGGTTTCCCGGATGTTGTGGAAACCCAAGGCCTGACTCCTCTTCTACTACACGCGTGTAAAGCATCTCTCAGTGCCTTCAGGAGGCTGGAAGTGTGCTGGTTATTGAGCAGAAGTCATGTTCGGCTCGTCGAGATCTGGAGGGGTGAGAGGGGGTCAGGACCAGTTCAACTGGGATGAAGTGAAAGTGGACAAACACAGAGAGAACTATCTGGGTAAGTATCGAGCTAACGTTAGCCGCTAACTCACTCTGCGCTATTATTGTGTGCGCTGTATATGCGAAGTTCATAAAATATAGCGTTATATTCAGAGAAGCATGATTTCTTGTGCACTTTACACGCTTGAATTCAGTAATAGTTGTTAAGTAGAGCTCATGTAACTGGTCTGTGATAACATTTTGTTGTTTACTGGCACACGGGCGCGATAACCTGTTCAGAAAGCGAATAACTCGTGAGGATATTATAGCAGACTTGTAATGAGTAGTTGGTTTGCTTTTCTGTAAAGATATCGCTAATCCTTAATATCAGCATGGTTTGTCCATGACAGATTGTCCTCTGGGAACACGTTGCATTAGATGTTCGTCCCTAGTAACGTTATTTGTAATGTAAATTCAGACATTCCTACCTTTTTCCTTGGTATGATCTCTCATTACAACACCTGTTAGTTTAATGTGTATGTATCGGACACAGTTGTGGCTTTTGTTGGTGTAAGTTAGTTGACGTGTTGGCTTTCTAGTTAAAGGACCCAGAGTCACGAGACGTGAACGCAGCGCGTCGGTTCACGAATCCTACTACGGCAAAGGCTCAGCATCTGAATATTAATAAGGTCATGCGGTCATTGCTAGGTAACCTGCCCCAGCGTCCTGCAGGAATCCTTCTACTGCGCATGCGTAGCTCATTAATATTGCGTATATATGCCGTGCTGACGTCAGTGAGGCCTACTGGCCAGACGTCACGCAACCTGTTCAAGAAAGCTGTCTTCCTCATAGTAGGATTCATAATTTGATACATGTGCGTATTTGACTTATCACGCAGTTTTTTTTAACCCCCAAGACATTTAACTTACAAAGTTGCTTGCTCATCTTGTCTCTATCAGTCAGAAGGGCAATATATAGCTATAGTTTCTGTTACAAACGTATTAAACCCCCCCCCCCCCCCCCCACACACACACACACAAACACAAAATATGACACGTATATTGCATAAAGAAAAATATTATACTCCATAAATAGTTTTAGTATTATAATATTATATATTTTCATGATAGTTTTGCACATTTTCCAATAAATGCGTATCACCATATGCAAATAAATGTAATTGTCATGTTTCCTTTAATTACAATGGCTATAAATTAAATGCAGTACAACCAATGTGGTGCAAATACAATTTAAATAGTTAAATTGTTCTAACAATATAATCTTTAATAATGTAATATACTTTTTTAACATTACCCTATACTAAGAATGAGATTTTTATGCTTTATATGATACTGAAATTTATGGGGGAAAATGTAGTTAATTGTCAGGAAAATCTTAATTGTTCTGATGGCCATAGGTTAAATTTATTTTATAAGCTAAATAAAATTTCTTGTTTTTTTTTACTTTTGATTTTGGGGTGAAATATTACTTGTTCTTGACATGTTATGTAAGATTGGCCTAAGGTCTTGGGTAGCACTTTAGTTTGGCAAAAGTCATAGTGAATATGTTTTCCCAAAACTAAAGTGTGACCAGGTCTTGTGTTCATCTTCCTCAGGGAACTCCCTCATGGCGCCGGTTGGACGCTGGCAGAAGGGCAAGGATTTGTCGTGGTATGCCCGCGATAAGAAGGGTGGCGCAGCTGTGTCTAAAGAGCAGGAGATGGCAGCGGTGCGGGAGGCGGAGCACGAGGCCATGTTGGCAGCACTGTAAGTGCGCTCGATTCATCAGTGCCCTGTAAAATACAATCAGTTTAAATCTTAATGTTTTTGTCTGTTTTAGGGGACATAAAACCATCAAAAAACAACCAACTGGTCTTACCAAAGAGGTCTGCATTTGTAAACATCCAAACATGGACATTTTTAATTATTTGCAGCATTTCTTATTGCATTTCCTCATGCATGTTTGTCTTGCTGGCAGGATCTTGCAGATGTGTGCAGGAGGGAAGGAGAGGGGGAGGAACGGGACGTGGACCGGGTCTCTGGGCTCGGAAGCTCCAGGTAAAGCCAGTGCTGCTGTGTGTATGTTCGTTTACCGGCTTTTGTGACGAGTTTGCTGGATCTCTTTGCCTGTTAAAAATACATTCTTAAAGACAACCTATGCTCTAAGTAACTTATTCCCCCATAGAAATACCCTAATGAATGTATAATACATATTATCAGGGTTGAGCAAAATTCAGAAGTGAAGAATATCTGCCTATAAAAAATGACTTTGTACACCTTTTATATATATTTATTTTTTAAACACAGTGCCTTTTACTAGGGCTGTAACAATATATCGTGTCGCAAAACAAGAATGCAACAATATGTATCGTGGATGGTGACATGGTCACAATGTATTGTGTATAATTCACCCAAAATGAAAATTACTGTGTGAGAAAAAATTCAAGTTTACAGCGTTTTAGTGTCAGTACTACATTAAACTATTATATATAATGTATAATAATGCAATGGGGGATATTTGTGGGTCCTGATAATGCCAAATGTCTGATGTTACAGGTAAAAAGTGGCCTACATTATTTTAAATATATCTAGTCAGTGAAAGAGTGCTTCTGTATTTTCAGCTTCAGGATCATGAATATGTTTATTCTGGTGTCTCTATTGTCCTGTGCTTTGGGTTTCCAGCACCAAGTCCAACTGTATTCATTTACACCCACAATGTAATACCAATGCGTCTCCAAAGGGAATAGCCATCACACACTGCTCGGTTGAGAAGGTCTTTGTGTGTCACAGTTAACTCTGAAATTCATACTCTGGGTTCACTGAGCTTTCTTCATACCGTGAAGCAAGGTTTGGATTAAGTTCAGGGTATGTGTGATGGTGAGCAAACCTTGCTTTCTGGAATACCCCTCTGGATAGAAATGCTTAGGTTTTGAAGTGCGTATTGAAATGTTAGACAAAATAAAATCACTTTTCTGTTTCAGTCTATGAAGTAGCTTTAGGCTGTAACTCGCTCCTCTATTTTCATCTTATTTTTGTTTATAAATTGAATGTAATGGGTGTAACATCCTGAGATTCTGCTTTTGTTTTTCATCAGGGCCGGAGCAAGAGGAATGTTGCTTTCCAAGCAAGAAAAAGAAGCTGTAAAAATGGGTTTGCCGGTTTTCACGGTATGTAGACAGAGATAATCAGTTTTTAATGCTATTTTGATTTTAAGAATGTGTCATGTCTCAAGTAAAGCTGTCACTGACGATTATTTTAGTAATCGAGTAATCGGTCGATTATTATTTTTTTTTTTTTTTGTGGTACTAAAAATAGTCTCTAGTGAACAATAGCCTTTAAAATGACTTAAAATACATACAGTCTACTGTACAATAACAATGAGGTAATAATAATTGATTCAAATGAAGTATCAAACACAAGTAAGCATATGGTTTTATTGAATAGCACTGTTGAAATACATAATGTAATATACGTGATATATAATATAATATAAACTTGTGTAATATTGGCCAAACAACATTTATTTAAAATGTCCACTTAATCTTTAATATTTGGCCACTTTTTTATAATAGAAACGCTACAGCCACTGTAATGTCTTGAACAAGAACATCAAACTCAGAGTGAGGGTTAAAACTTTTATTTTGAAATTGTGATGAACAACAAATGAACATTTGTTTTGGATTTTTAGAATCGAGCACTCGTTTAATTGAGGAATTCTGACAGCCCTGATCAGAAAGAGTCATATTACAAGCACAGTCAACCGTTACTGATCTTGAATTTATGAATTTATTTTTTGCCAGCATCATAAAGCTGACAGACCGCAAGAAGCCGCTAAGACGCCGGAGGAGGCCAACAGACATGATAAAGGAGACAAAAGGTATAGACAAAAAAAGTTTGATCCATTTTATGGTTTTAAAGACTTGTTGATTTTGGCTTAAACTACCCTCTAGCTTTATATATATATATATATATTTTATGGCCAAAAATTATATTTGAATGAGTTTTAAAGATGTATAGAAGAAACATGAGAATTCATGAGTACAAAAAAGATACTACTGACAAAAAGGCAAAATATCTAAGTTGAGAACTTATATTAATTACAGATCTGACAGCAAAAAGAAGAGTAAAAAGGAAAAGAAGAGTAAGAAGGAGAAAAAGAAGAAAAAGGAGAAGTCGAAACACCGAAGCAGAAGGGACTCTTCAGATTCGGACTCTGAAATGTACAGTAAAAGGTAAACTGTGTATATATTTTTTTCCATTGTGTCATTGAACTAAATACCATTATTTACTTTTTGTTATAGATTATTTTACATGTAAAACTATACATGTTTTATTTCTCTAAGGTGTAACGCAGTTTCTTCACAAGAGGGCGTTGTAACACAATTTAACTGCTTTAGTTCATCACATCTTTTAGTTAGTTTCCTCTTCTTATTACATAATACAGTCCTTTTGAAGACAGTGGTACAACTTTGTTTGGGTTGAAGAAAATGATCAAACTATGGTTCTGTTCAAAAACTTAGAGAGGTATTTAAAAAAATTTACTTTCTGATTACTTTTAGATTACTTTTGACCTAACACTTTTATCACAGATTTGAATGGGATTATTGTGTACCATATTGATATTAGAGAGAGAGAGAGAGAGAGAGAGAGAGAGAGAGAGAGAGAGAGAGAGAGAAAATGTAACATTAATTTACGCCAGAGTTTCAACTGCAGGGAGTTTATGAGTTGGTTAGAAAGTATTAAAATAAGTAAATCACAAAAAAATTACATTTTACAATAAATAATTTTTAGATAAAAACAATCAAAATAAAATACTTAAACACTAAAAATAGAAATATATTTTATTTGTGTACCTGCATGTCAATGTGTCCATTAACAGGATTAAGCCGTGAACATACACATTTGATTAAATTATTGAAATATTAACTTAAAATTCAAAAGGGTTCAAACACTTTGGGAATCCCTGCATTACATGAACAAAAACATTAATAAACATGAAAACAGCAATGACAATACATGGCCAAAGTCTTCCAGGTTTAACATATTTTTGTCAGACTTCCAGAATCAATAATTATTGAAGGTCACTGGATATGATGATGACAGTAGATGAAGACAGATATACATTTGCAGTGTTTATTAATTGACTCAAGCACTACTACGCAATATGCTTACAAAATCCTTAAAGGGGTCATGAACTGGCTTTAAAAAAAAAATTATATTGTCTGAGGTCAACTTATGACGTTCGCTTGGTTTTTACATTCAAAAACATCAAAATGAATAAGTAATAGGCTATTTTCTACCCTAGTTTTGAGCCTAGCTCAAAAACGCTCGGTTTTTATGGGCGTCTCGCATTGAAGACTTGGAAGTAAACGCCCAATGCTGTGAGTGGATAACAGTTTTGCATATTATAATGAGTTTCGTGTAATGCGCGAATCGGTGGGCGGGGCTAAACCGGCCGTGTTGAAGTAGGCGTTGATCTTCTTCTGCGGGGGTGGTGTTTTATCCTCTTTGTCGTCATAGTTCCCCACTTTGAAAAACGAGTCGTTTGCTTAGACTGGTGTCATTAAAAGCTTTTATTGGACTAACAAGGACGTTTTCAGTTCTGAAACTTACAGGATATTCTTATAATATGATAACCTCTTAGATGTCAAAAGCTCAAAGAAAATTTGATTTCTCAGTTCATCACCCCTTTAACAAATTTGAATAATATTTGAATAAAAGGTGAAGATGTCAGATTCACCTTTGGCCACTACTCTGCATGGTCTATTGATTGAGCAGTTCTTCAGAATCATTGATTGCAAATGTCTAAGCCCTCCATCAGTCACAGACTCCAAGATGTTTGCATTATGTTTCTAGAATTATGAACGGGCAATTTCGACATTACAAACACCATTCAAGTGTGGTGACAGATCAGACGTGTTATTTCAGAATCAAAATCACATTAACAGTCTAAAAAGTTATACAAACACATTTTGTGTAGACTTTTAAAGCGGAGTACACAAAACTACCACTAACCATTTCACAAAACTAAAACTAACTCGTGTGTCTGTGAGGGCATGAACGACGCCACACTACGTCTATTCATTAATACACACATATAACCATTTTAATCTTTATATATTTTAAAATTTTAAATCGTACCGAATCACAATTCATAACATTTTTAACATTGCACCTACGATGCCTAGAGTGGCAGCTAACTTGATTTTGGAAAAGAGCTGTAGTTTTATTAGATTTGGGAATACAAATAGTACTTATTTTAAATGAGTGTTTTTTGTTTGTACGGAAGCTGAGATTGTCGGGTGATATTTCATATTTTAACTTCACTTATGCCTCTGTGACTGTGACACCTAAACTGCAGTATGTACTACTATAGCAAGTCTCAACTGCTTGATTCTTAGGGTTCAAATTTAAACTATAGTATCCCCCATCAATATATTAAAAGTTGGATGCATAACATCCTACTTTACATTCATGCATAAATACACTATAGTCATGTAAAGCGATTCATACCATGGTCTGTCTGAATACTCTATTCTGATTGGCTGGAAGGTGTGCAATAAAATAGTTTAATGCACAGGTAGTTCCCAGTCAGTTTAATCACCGTTCTATATTAATGCTCTGTCTTCATTGAAGCACACACACACACACACACACACACGCGTCAGTCGCCGGAGATCGTGCTGCACACACACAGAAACGTGATGTAAAAAATGAAACGAAGATAAATCATATATTTGCTCCTTGAATGTAAAAATTACAATCTATGCAATGCAACTGAAACCCAAAGTGACACACTTTAGAGAATTTTTTAAAAACTTGTTATAACTAGCTGCATTTTTGTTCACACCCCTGATTAATACTAGTTGAAGCACCCTTTCATTACAGCTCCAAGTCTCTTCAGATAGGAGTCTATCAGCGTGCCACATCTTGACTTGATATTTTCCTGAATATTTTCCCACTTTTTGCAAAAACATTACAGATCTGTTCAATTGTGATCATGGCATCTCATGTGCACGATCCTCTTCAGGTCCCCTTACATATTTTCTATAGGAATCCGGTCTGGGCTCCGGCTGGGCCTTTCCAAAACATTCATCTGTCTTTGCTGAAGCCATACTTTGGTTGATTCAGATGTGTTTTGGATCATTGTCCTGCTAAAAGGGGAAAGTTCTCTTCATTTTCAGCTTTTGAGCAGACAACACAAGGGTCTATACCCAAATCATCTGGTACTTGGAGCCAGAGATGTAAAGAGAACCTGAAAACCATACATTAAGTGATCAGTGACTCTTGCATCAAAACAATGGCAGTGACATTTTAAGATATCTCAGATATAGTTCTAGTGCAAGTGGCTTTTAGTTAAAACAGCTCAGACATTCATTTTAGTCTGGGACTAGCCTTTAACCCCCGGTTTCACAGACAAGGCTTGAGTATCTAGTCTTAATAGTATTTTACTCATACTGAATGTAGGCCCAAATATGCATTAGTCCTCAACACCTTTATTTTTTTTTACCTCAAAATAAAACTAAACATCTCAGTATTGCAATTAATCAAGGTGGACACAACAGCCTCTTAAAAGTCTACAAACAGTGAAGTCCCAGTTAAGCTCAAGTGCTCAAAAAGGGCATAAGTGCTACATATACTTTCTCAAAAATGTAGTCGAGGAGAGAGTAAAAGTTGCCAATATCTTTGATATATATATCAAAATATCGGGCCTCATCAGAGGCTGCATGTCCTCATCTCATATATGAAACGCCTGCGGTTCAGCAACTACATGCTAATGAACTCGCATTCGTGTACAGTAGCCTTGTTGACAGCTTTGGGAGAGTGAAGGCAAAATGCACAAGATATCCCTTATGAGAAAAGTATACTTCAAGTTCATTTAATGAAGTATACTAAAGTAAAGTTCAAGTAAACGTTTTAAGTGTAATTAACTTTATGTAGTAAGTATACTAATATCAATGTACTGGTAGTATACTATTGTACTATTTCAATACTGATGGGACTAAATTGGCCCACCTTTTATTATATAAAAGTATATGTTTAAGTGTAACGGTAGTAAAGAGCACAACTAGTTCACAACTACATTTCTCATCTGTACTGAATAAACTTCTTTTTCGTAAGGGATAGTACCTTCAATGCCCTGTAGATGCCCGTATCGCTTCGCTTATAGCAGAGATAAACTGCTGCAGAAAAAGTCAGGTGCCATACAAAATGTAAAAAGAGTACAAAGTTGCCAAAAAGATACTTAAGTACAGTAACTAATTACATTTACACAGATACTATAAAGGCCCCAATATACTCGAGGCAAAGTTTTGTTTATTTTTTTGTTCTTCGCTTTGGGGTAAAAATAAGTTTGAAATACGTTATACTGAAAGCAAACATCCCTATGCCGGGAAGTTTACATGAATATGAAAATATGTGGATTTCAATAACAAAATAAACACAACAAAAATGACAGTGGTGAGAACTAGTACTCCAGTAAATTCACATCATGTTGATTTACATAGCACTTTATACAATAGATTGTTTCAAATCAAGCAGCTTTACAGTATTAAACATGAAAAACAGTGACAGTGTCTCTTTCAATTAGAATTACAACTTCATTTTCTACTATAAAGCGGCTCTCCAGTGTGCTCATGTTTTTACCCGTGGACGTCTGAGCTCAATGGGCTGGACAGAAGATTTCCACGTCAAAGAGCCACGCCTATTGTTTGTCCACGGGTATATGCTGTTCTTTTCCAGATGTGCTGTGTTGTTTCTGTGCCAAACATACCCGTTACAATTTTGGGTGACTGTATTTCATTGTATATCTTATTTATCTAATTTTCATTTTCCGTAGCCCTCACCTGAGCGACACTTTTTAACAACGAGATCCCATTGATGCTTCGTAATCTCCTGTAGAAAAGAACCGCTGAGATTTATTTGGAGTTAATCAGAGTCATTTTTGGTGAAGATGGGCGTGAAGATGGGCTATTTCACATGAGCTTGATGATTATTACATTCTGAATACAGCCACAAACTCAATTATAAAAGGGTTTGCACACTTATGCAGTTAGGATATTTCAAGGACATTTCACGTTTTTTTTTTTTTTTTTTTATCTTTTTTCTCTCCGAAATGTCACTTTGATTTTCCGTGGCATTGGATAGGTTGTAATTTTTACATTTAAAAGGTAAAAAAAGTTCTGATATGATTTATCTTCTCCTTTTTTTACATCACAAAAACCAGCTGTTTTAACAGAGGTGTGTAGACTTTGTAAATCCACTGTTTATATACTGTCCAATACGTAAAGCAATATATCAAATGTAGCAAATCTCAACTGCTTGATTTTATTTAGTACCAAAATGTAATTAATATTATCACCTACCCATATAAAGTTGGATCTATAAGCACACCCAGCTTTATCTGCATACATCAGTATACTTGCATAGGGCGATAGATCCTATATAGCAATCTCAGTTCAAAAAACTGTTTGATTGCTTGTATTATCGCAAAATATAAGCTATATTATCTTCTAATTGCGACTATAAGGCATAAATATATTAAGATGTTATACACATCAACATTATCATTCTCTTTAAGAAATGTGTATTGTGAAAAGTGCTTAATCAATTTGACATATTTGATAGAAACCGTAGACTAGGATAGTGTATTCCTCATAGTCCATGTCTGAATTATGGTTCTCCCCTCAAACAGAACCAAACTTCCCATGCTCTCCAGGAATAAATGATTGTCTAGGTGTGTTTTGTGCTCCCCAGGCCGAGAAAAGATTCCCGGGACCACCATGGTCCTAATCCATCAAGGAGCAGTCAGAGTGGAGCCGGAGCCTGTGACAGCCATTCAGGAGGAGGGCCAAAGGCTGACCGCAGGACACCGGCCCCCCCTCGCCAGCGGCACGACACGGACTCGTCCTCTGATGGACCACGGTCCCCGTCACCAGGCTACCGGCGGCGCCACCGCACCGGCTCAGACCCCTGATGCCCCGTCCACACCTCCTCACCCCGAGAATGGATCTTTGTCAAGCTCTGGACGACTTAGGCCACGAGACATGGCAGCTCAGCGCGCACAGATTCATATGCAGCAACACCAGTGAGGACTTCTGGGTACATTCCACCTGAATATCATGTAAATGTGGAGTAAAACTTTACCTTCAGGCACAGCACTCTTATTCTGGACACAAAGTGAGACTGCATTTCCTTTTCCCCAAAATGAAATTCTCTCATATTCACCCTTTCTTTCTTACGTTAAACACACAAACTAATATTTTTAGGAAAATAATCAATCTCTGCGAGCCCATAAAATGCAAGTGGCGAGTGCCAAATAGAAATGCTAGATTAGGTGTCTGTGTAAGCAAAATTTGTCAAAAGTTACACATACCTATCATTTCTATTCAGAAGACATTGATTCATCCGCTGGGGCGATTGCCAAACATCAACAGAGTGGCACACATTCACTTGCATTATATGGACTCACAGAGATTGTTTATTTTCCTAAAAATATTAGTTTGTTTTTATCGGAAGAAATAAAGTCCTATATGCAGAGATGGGATGAGGCTGAATAAATGATGAGAGTTTCTAAATCATTTCCCCTCAAAATACTCATTACTCTAATGCTAAAAAAGAACAAATTATATGCCATTTGTTGTCTTGCTGTGTTTGAATTAATGCTAATTCTTATTTAAAAAATCACTTAAAAAATGACAGCAATCAGAATGACAAAAACCCAGTTATGTATTAGAATTTTGGAGTAAAATGGGATATCATACAATGCAAAAAAAAAAAAGGTTTAATTCTCTTTATTTTTTGAGCTGAAATGATATCTGGACACGTTTTGGTCTTCGATGCATAAAGAGAAAACTGTCACCTAATACGACACGATCTCCAGCGATTGATTGACTTTTTATTCTTGTAAATGTTTGGGGAAATAAACTTTTTCCATCACATTGATATGGTCAATGCACCTGCCCTCAACACCTCTATCCTTCAGATATTGTTTTCTCAGTCTATTCTGTTCTTATTTTAAATGTGCTGCTTCCTGGCTGCAGGAATGCGCTCCTGTCGCTAGAATAGAGGAGTGTTTGCATTTGCATTGAGTTGCTGTGAAAGGCGGTATTCTGCTGGCTGGCACCTGGGGCCATGCGAGAAAAGAGCAAAGCGCAGACAAAAGACAAGTGCAAAAATCCCGGCCCAGGGATGGCCCGAGCGCCACACACAAACCCCAAGCCGCTGGAGCAGCAGGAGTGGGCTGAACAAAAGCCACCCTGTAAGAGAGCCAGCGGACCCCTCCTTTTCCCACCATCATGCCTTCCCTGCCACGCATTACTGGCTTGGCTGCATTATCCATGGCAGCCTAATCGGGCCAAAGGAACGTTGTTGTAGATTGCTTTCCCTCCCCCTCGTTGGGCGCCTGATTCCAGGCTGCTGACCCCGTAGGCCCGGCCCATCCTATTTGTCACTTATTAAAGTGCTTCTGCTGAGAAGGCGAGGGAGGCGTTTGGAGAACTGGAGGGCGTTTGAGTGGAGAATTAATGAGTTCCTCAAGAGCACCAGGCACACGCACCGCAGATCTCGGCCGTCCCGTCCGCTGAACGCACAGGCACTCGCCACAGACGCTTACGGCTCAAATAACTCGGCTCATTTCTCTAAAAGGGTTTGATGTTAAGTTAACCCCTCAGTTAGATGGCTAAAGATTTCAACAGGTTTGATGAACGTCTTTGCTCTTCTTAATTGTCATTTCATCTGAACATCAACATTTGTGAGATTTAGTCAGTTGAAACAGTTCTGGGGTTGATTAACCTAGCCTTTAAAAAAAAAATTTCACTAAGCTTTCATGGGCCCCAGAATATTTTGTTGTATGAATATCTGAACATGCAATATGTAAGGGATAATGCCATAAACGATTTTAATACGGCTTAAAAAAGGTTAAGTGGAAAAATATACCTGACACGAAGTGCATTCAAATCGCCTCATCCTTCCCTCGGGTCATTTTGACCCGGATTTTTTTATTTATTTTTTTAATAAATATTGAGTGTTAATCGGAGGGATCCAAGACCCCGTGACTTTTGTTGCACTTGAACCACGAATACACACACACAAAAAGTAATGCGTTTGAGGAGTTTTGAGGTTGAAATTTAAAAAAGTAACAAATCCTTCCCTCGCGGGTCAAATTGACCCCCATAGGAATAAATAGAGTGCAAGGAATTCTTCAGTACACATAGAAAAACCTACAAATGCTCAAAATTCAAACTAAAACTGCTCAAATTTTACCAAAAAATATTTTATAATGTCTACATGTGTATCTGAATGCATACTGAAGAGAAAATGACTTTAGGACCCAGCGGAAACAACTCATTTGCACCATATAGAGCTATTAGCCCATCTAGTGGCAAGAGTCATGAAATATCATGTTATATTATTATTTTACCACAAGAGGTCGGCAAAGACACCCAATGTAAGATATTTTGAGCTGAATTAAAAAGTTTAGGCATGAAATTGTGAGTTATTTTGAATTTAAGTTGAAAGAATGTGCTTCTAAATGACTATTTATTATTTATTGATTAAATCTAGTAATTTAAAGGTAAATAAAAAAAAATGTTTTTTAAATCTCCCAAAAAGTTAAATTAAAAAATATTATCAAAATGAAATAAAATGTATAAGTATAATTTTAGGGCTTCGGGTCATTTTGACCCGCGAGGGAAAGATGTGTTACAAAACGCGAGGGAAGGATGAGTGTTAATGATGATCCCGCTCATTCCATGATAATTTGCCAGCATTGACCACTTCAAAAGCTGTTATTGATGTTTGCAGCGCAATATTTGAATGAAAGGGCAAAAATGAATCGCTTTCAATCAGACACAGATATATAGTAGTGCGGTAAGATAACATTTATTTAAAGCTGCAGTCCGTAACTTTTTTTTTGTGTGTTCAAAATTTACTAAATGTATATAAGCGAGTACATCATGAATGAATTTTCCAAACCATGTTAAATTTTGATCCTGAATCACTACGGTACACCTATAATAAGTGTGTATATTGGGACTATTTTAGACTGGTACGGGTCGTGCCACTGCGGAGTAGCCCAGTGCCTGCGTGACTCGTCATAGACATAAACAGAGAGAAGGAGATCCGGCTACAATGTTCTTCCACAACACGCATGCCGTTCTGTTTATCAACTGCTAGAGCGCCAAAAGTTACGGAACGTAGCTTTAAATGAATGAATTGTAGCATTTATTTGAATGAATTATTGAGTGAGAGATGGGTGTGTGAATTACCTTCATCTGTGCAGATCTCTCTCTCTATATTGACAACACAGCTGTGAGTTTAATTACTTCAAAAACTGCAACGTTACCCCCTCATTGCTGAGAAATATAAAGTAGCAATTCAATAGCAAAGCTATTTTATTCATAGAAGTCGCAGGGCAGCGCTGAAACCTATTTCTGTGTGTGTGTGTGCTTCAATGAAAACAGCACATTAATATAGAATGGTGATTAAACTGACTTGGAACTACTTGTGCATTAAACTGCATTAATAATTTGGTAAATTTTCCATAAACTAACAAAAATATACAATGAAAAAGAAGAAAAACAATCTGAAAATGAAAACAATGAACTAAATTGTAAAAGTTTAATACAGTCTTTAAATAAACTGTATTCTTTGTTATCAAGTTTCTATGCTTCCATTTTGCTAAACATGGTTTATGAATGCGCTGCCAAAATTGTTCATTTAAAGCCCTGAGATGCTCACGTCTGTTCTTGACGGACTGAACAGAAGAAATGAACCAGAGTAAGATTTCCACGTCAAAGAAGGCGGATCCTCATCCTCACATCTATTGCGTACTCAATGCTGTATGAAGGTGTTTACCAACTTTTCTGGAAACTCGCTTTGGCAAGCTGTTACAAATTCCCGAAAGGAACTCCAAATAAACGTAGCTTTGGCCTGATTTTGTTCGAAATCACGTCACACCAGTTCGTTTTTCGGTTTTGCTTGAAGTATATCAGGGTATATAAAGTATATATGATGCTGTTCATCACTTACACTAACAAATTAATGAATTTTCATCTAAAATGTCACAGCATTGTGTAGCCTATGGCTGTAAAATCCACCGAGCTGTTGAACTGGCAAAATATGAATGATAAGGTAGTTGGGGTTATCTTCATCTCTATGAGCTCGTGATATCATTTGTTAAAGTCTCGTATAGTGCGCGTTCTAATTCGATAAGTTTGAGGCATATTTGTTCAGGTGCATGGCTGGATTAGGTCAATAGTTAAACTAACCCAAGGGTATGGCACTCAGGTTCACATGGCTAGTCGCTAACCCTTGTACTGGGTTGAAAACCCTAAAACACTTGTGGTGTTCCCAGCCAAAAATGAACGGCCTGCAAAAATTGCTTATAAATCTCTCGTTATGTTCCCAAATATTGGATTCAATCATTTCAATCTGATGTAGTCAGCCGGATCCGGGCCGTATCCAGATCAGATGGTGGACCTGTGCCTAGACACGACCACAACGCATCCCTGAAGTGTCAGCAGAGGTTGTGTCAACCAGACTCTCCCCTGTGAAGGCCTCATCGACACGACAGCCATCGGCACTGATCCTCAACAAACCCGTCTCCATACCGGCGTGACTCCGATCTTCAACCAGACGGAACTGGATAATATTCTGATTGTTCCAAACCAATATGACTTCTGACCTATAGGTTTGGTTCCTTGCCACTGTCACCTTTGGCTTTTGGCTTTTGGCTTGCTTAGTTTGGGACACTTAATATTCAACAATAATATTGATCTGCCTGCATTGACACCATTGTATGAGAACTGAACTGAGCTGGACGATGACATCACGGTTTTCTTCAGAGCGTCTATATATAAATGAACCATCACTGAACTTACTAAAGCTGGACTGTGATGCTATTTTCTTCTGGAAACAAACTTTGTTGCATTATTTTACTCTTATCACTGTAAAGCTGCTTTGAAATAATCTGTATTGTAAACAGCTCTTTATAAATAAAGGTGACTTAACTTGACTTGTCAGCTGGTTTTATTTCAATTAGGACAGGTTTTGTATTTATTTTTGAAAGTGATTGATCGTAGGCCTCACTGATTTGAGAATAAAGTTAAACTCTGTGAAAAAGAAAGCCTGTAATACTCAAAATAGTTTGCTTGTGCACATGAACGTGTGTGTGTGTGTGTGTGTATGTGCGCGGATACAAGAGTATGCATGTATCCACGCATGCACAGGTCCGAGGCCTTTATTTTTGCAAGCCCACATGTACATGTGTGAACATGAACATGATGAACACACTCCTGAACACTAATTGTTTCTCTGATTTTCAACTCCCCCATTCATTTTCAATGGGCGGCCATTTTTGACCAATATAAGCTCAGTACAAATATAAGCTAAAAACAAAACCTGTCCTAATTTAAAGAAAACAAGTTTACAAAAAGATTGAATTCAATATTTGGAGATAAAATAGTGTGACTTTGACAAAATTATCCACAAATAATGCTTTTTTCACTCAAAAACTGAGGTATGTAAGCTCAGATAAATGAGGCCTACGATCAATAAGTTCCAAAAAGAAATATAAAACCGGTCCTAATTGAAAGATAACAAGTTGACAAAAATATTGAATCCAATATTTGGTGATGATGTAGCATAATGAGAGATTTAGAAGCATTTTTTTGTAGGCCGGTCATTTTTGACCGGGAACACCACAAGTGTTACAATGTGGGTAAAAAACGCACAAAAAGTATCAACATTTTTTGGGCAAGTTGTTAGACTCTGGGTGAGTAAAGTCAGTAAATTTTAGTCTAATGCAATAACATTAACTGGCATTTTCGGGTACGGGAAAATGTCAAAATGACCCGAACACAACATTAAATAACTCTATCCCTTCGCTAGCCCAGATACGCATCCGTCAAGCCGCTAGATGAGCGAGTACATAAGTCTTGGCGATAGATCTATTTGTTTTGGGGGGGCTGTATTGTCCTATTGTCTTCCCATGATTATATATGTATTAATGTTGCAGCAAGATTTCAGCACCAGGCACGTGTTGGCTTGTATTCATTATCCATTATAGATCAATTACTGTAACAATAACAACATGCTGTAAATGGTATAATAATTTGTGCTACAAACCAGTGTGTTTATGATTACGATAATACATCAAAATAATATGTTAACAAATGAGTTTTCAATATCAAACATGTGTACTCATCATCAGGTACTCTTCACTTACTGCCCCAAAGGAAACATGCTCACAAATGGATAAAGTACTTTCTAATTTCATCTGGAGAAACAAACCTCATAGAATAAATCAAAATTAATTAACTCTTTTCTGGATTTTAATGTTTTCAACCAAAAACTTTTTGAAAAATGTTGTCCCTCATTATTTTACACAAACACAATTTCTCTCTCAGCAGACGTTTTATATGGAACAAAGGTAATATCACTCATAACAGCGTAATAGATTAATTGTACTTTTTGACAAGAATGAGCAATTATACACTTGCCCCAATTATTTTTCAAAATATGTTTGGAAGTTTTAGGAGGTACTTTCAACTTTGCTTTAAACCCCAAGAACAGAACTTTCAACCTAATATAAAGTTTTAGGGTTGAAGATTAACATAACATTTATTAAAACCAAATTCTGATGTTTAACCACCACGTGGATCAGCAAAATGTGTGTACATTTATTTTTTCAGTTGTGAGCCACATTTTTCAATCAATGAATGACTGATGCCATGGCAGTCGAGAAATATTTCAAAGCAGCAGATTAACAAGAGCACACCAGTAAAAGTCCAGTTATACTAATATCTTTAATTACAGTGCATTTCTGTCAAAATGAAAAACAATAAAAAAAGACATTGGTTAAGAGTCACACTATACAACATTTTGCTATGAGATTCACATAGTTTCGACCCCAAGTAATCAGTGTCTACCAAATCAGAGGTTAATTGAGAAGAGAGAGAGAGAGAGAGAGAGAATAAAAGATAAATAATAAAGTGGCTTTTAAACCATCAGTTCTAACATTGCATCAACAGTGACCATGTGATTGACGTGACGGTTGTTAATCTCAAGCCGGTGTCTCTGCGGACTGTAAAGGCACCCGGGCTTCTGGGAGAAAATCACTTCTACATGCAAAACAGAAAACATGTCATTGATATTAACATGCCAACATTCTTATAATAGTTTTATGTCTTAAATCTATAAAAATGCACTACTGATTTGTTAGATATTAAGTTATCGTGTGCTAAGATGAGGTCGGTGTTGTTTATTCCTTGTGCTGGTTAGATATTGAGTTCATAACACACTTAAATCCAGAACATGAAGTTGAAAGTAACACTTAAACAGAGTGTCAAAACAACAGGAAATTTCATTAAATTAAGGGTTCAGTTTATCTTAAGGGTGAATCTCCAAAAATATGCCCAAGTGCATTTTAACCCACCATAAATATATAATTGTAATATTTTGCAAAAAGAAAACAAAGCCTATTTTGGGAAAACAACTTTAAAAAAAAAAAGATATTGTTGCATAATTTGTTTAATGACCAACCTCCAATCCCCTTAAAAAATATCATTACTGTTACGAGCCTGAACATTTGACCTCAAACCTTTGCTAACCTGAGCCGCAACAACTTTTCTTCCACATTCACAAGAAACATAAGATGTGTATTGGGGATCTGATTAAAAAAAATACAAATAATAATCTGAATCTTTGTGTAGCCGACTTGATGATTTAAAGGCATTCCTCCTCTGTGGCTTCTAAAAGCTAGAGGTCACGTCAGCCTCGGCTGAGGAGACAGCGTAATCGATTTTTGGTTTCTCTTCCTCCAAATTGAACCGTAATATGTGCAGGTAGTGTCCGTAATGTTTGATTTCCTTTACTCAGTTCAAGACAAACAATACAGTTTCGTTTACAGTACATCTAAAAGAGTCTTATTATAAGCACAATAAAATAATACATGTGCAAGATTCAAATGAGACCTGACAGAGTTTACAGGACTGACGTTCTTCAAACTCTTTCCAATGACTCAAACAGAAAGAATGTGGGGAGAAAAAAACAATGAAGGACTAAATCTAGTTTGCATAATGGTGGTCAAAAAAGCTGCCTCACAACAAAAAAACTATTTACATTAAAGTGAGTAACACTTTTTCTCGCTGTATTTGAAATGAGCGCAGCTTCCAGCACCGTCGGTTTAAAAACAAGAGTAAAGCGAGTGTCGAGAATATGAAACTAAGGAAGAGCAGAACAGTGAGGTCATTATTTGTGGTTTTTCAGTTGGTTGGACAACCAATCGAGTCCTTCATAGAGGCCGTCGCCGCTCGTGGCGCACGTGGCCTGAATGTACCAGTTCCTGTGCCGGAGCGAATGCAGCCCCAGCTTGTCCGTGATTTCCGCAGCGTTCATGGCGTTCGGTAGATCCTGTCGGACAAAGACATTGTCAAATAAAACGCATTTGGAAAGAGCTGCAGATAATCAGTTGAAGTCTGTTAGCACCTGTTTGTTGGCAAACACTAGCAGGACTGCTTCCCTGAGCTCGTCCTCGGCCAACATTCTCATCAGCTCCTCTCGCGCTTCATTCACACGCTCTCTGTCATTGCTGTCAACCACAAAGATTAGACCTAAAGAAAGAAAACAAACATCAGAATAATGGACTGGTGTGAGAGACCAGCTTATATTTGGCTCCAGCCACAGATTAGGGATGAAATGGTTGCCGGTTTGACGATAAACCATGATAATAAAGATTCCTGACAGTTAGTATTACCGTTTCATATTTTAACTATTAAAACCTAGCCTGGCAAGCCAGACCTACATTAAGATGTTAGGTCTGGGAACTCACAATTGGCATACCTCAATCCGAGGGGCGGGATAAACGGTTGTCTATCAATATCCCTCGGCACGCAATAGGACAGCGCTACAACCAACCAGAGCAACGAACGGCTGTGGATGAGTGAGTCCCATGCGTGTTCCCACCAGTGGAGCTAGTTGATATATTAAACTTTTGCCGTATCCGGTCGTCAAAACTCCAAACACATCTTCCTTTTTTAAGAATGACTTAAGTTACGTTCTCTTAACTCCAAGTCCTCCAGAGTCGCGGGCAAAGCCGATTCGAAAGACCGCTGTTCGCCAGCAGCATCTTCTTTGTTTTCAAGCAGAGGGAAATCACCTATGGAAATCACGCGGAACCGTCACAACTCTGCCGTCATTATGTTAAGCCCGCCCACCAACTCTATACACGATCTGATTGGCCGGACCAGTTTTTGGTTTTTCCAGCTCAAAAGTCTATGGAGAGTTGCTAGACCACACTTTGCTGCAAAATAATTGTTGCTGCCGCTAGGGTGCGTCTAGATTTCTAGGCTAATTAAAACCATGTTTGATTATCGCAATTTGAAAAGCTAGTGGTAAATACTGTTCAGCATTAAAGGAATAGTTCACTCAAAATGAAAATGATGTCATCATTTACTCTCCCCCAAGTTGTTTCAAACCTGTATGAATTTCTTTCTTCTGCTGAACACAAAGATGATATCTTGAAGAATGTCGGTGACCAGACAGTTGATGGGCCCCATTGACTTCCATGGTAGGGGAAAAAAATACTATGGCAGTCAATGGAGTCCATCAACTGTTTGGTTACCAATATTTTTTTTTAAATCTTCCTTTGTGTTCAGCAGAAGAAAGAAATTCACACAGGTTCATTTTTGAGTGAACTATTCCTTTAAGAACTAGCGGCATCATGTTTATTATTAGATTGCTCATACGGCACAGATATAGATACGCGTCTGATTTTTCTCCCAACTGTCTACTTTAGACATAACCGACTGCGTTTATGTAAACCTCGTGTGTATTCGACAGTTTAAGCCCAATAAGACGTGAAAGATAACTTGGTTCAATACTCACGCGAATGAAATGTTTAACTGGCAAAGCTTTAAACGCATGCAAATTATAAACGTTCATGACTGCCAATAACTGCAGTGCCACGTGAGCGGAACTCTACCGCTGCGGTAACATGTGATGTATGTCAAACATGTCGTGTTGTACAGTATGTTGGGACAGAGGCACAGCGCAGTGCTTACAGGTTCTTCAAAACGCCTGACGTAGAACCTGGAAGCGCTGCACTGTTTACACTATGTGAACAGCACAGGAGAAAGACATTTAAGAGAAAAGATGGTGAAAAAAAGTTGAATAATTGTCGTTATTTTTGCGCACAAAAAGTATTCTTGTCGCTTCATAACATTAAGGTTGAACCACTGGAGTCACATGGACTATTTTTTTTACTATATTTACTACCTTTCTGGGCCTTGAAAGTTGTAATGACGTTGCTTCCTATGGGTGGTTCAGAAACCTCTCGGATTTCATCAAAAACAATCTTAATCCCAATCTTAATAGTGTGTTCAGAAGATGAACGAAGGTCTTGCGGGTTTGGAACGACATGAGGGTGAGCAATTAATGACAGAAATTTCACTTTGGGGTGAACTATCCCCTTAAATATTGGCCAGGTTATTAGTATTATAGAATAATCATGGACAAATTTTAAAAGATTCACTTGACAGCAAAGTTGGTACGTCGGTGGCATGATGGAATTTTTCTTTCCAAAGTGAGGAAGAAAATGTGGACTTGGACACAACAAAAAACAGACTACTTGATCTTATTCTAATATATAGTGATTACAGCAGCCCAATTAAAACTTTCTTAGACTACAAAAATACACAGTATCACACAGAAATGTCTGATACCACTGTCTGCACATTTGAATTAACTGGACTTCCCAACTCTAACACAATACACTCAGGGCCCGACATTAATACTTGTCCAAGACAAGTGGATTTTTTTGAAGGGGCAAGTGAAAGAATTTTATTTGTCCGACCATTTGGCGACTGATAGTGGATAATAATATATAATGTATAATGTACCGATGATAAGGTTGCGCTGTTGAGGCTGGCACAGCCTCGTGAGGAGAAATAGAAACATATGAGTGCAACACACACACAAAGAAACTTGGTTAACATACTGCGGTAAACAATCTAAATGTGGAGTTTTTATATTTATAACATGACACAGTTAAGCAACATCACACGACCTAGAGTGCTGTCTCTCTGAATACCATCACGATTGAAACGGTGACTGATTTCATACAACAGTTCAATAAACAAGTAGTTAATATTAATGTCACTTAGATTTTAGAAGCAATATTGACTGTTTTTTGTTTCTATTTCAGAAGTAAAAATAGCTCCAAACTAAGATCACAGCAGAACCATAGCACATCTCACAGCAAGTTTCTTTACTGAATGATTCAGCATTTTGAATGAATCGGTTGAGTCAGATTCAATGGCCCATTCCTGAACGAATCAGCCGTTTGAGTGAATGACTCAATGACTCACTCAATAAGACGGTCACTTGCACTTACTGGCGGTTTAGTTTCATGTTTAAAAGTAAAAAAAAAAAAACACATTTCTTGAGGGCATATTCAAAAAATATTTAAAACAATCTCATAACATTATTTAATGCAGTTGTAATTTTTCAGTGTAAGTGATTTAATTGGATTGGTAATAGCCCTATAGTGTCTTATTATTCCAATTGAATTAATTGATTAAATTATTCTATTATTGATTAAGAATTTGAAATGAAAGATAAAACATACATTTAAGATTAGAAAAAAAATGCCCTTTATAAAGCAAAAAAACACACACACAAAAAAAACCCCAGGGTAATTATGACTAATATGCAGATTAATACGTCAAAGCTGATAGAACACTGATGAGAATATTGCTTCAGAATAGATTATATTTACACCACAACACAACTTTTTTACTCGGACAAGTGAATGACCGATTTACTTGTCTGAAGGACAAGCACATGACAAGGCTTAAATGTCGAGCATTGACACTGTATTACTGTCTTACCTTGTGTGTTCTGGAAATAATGACGCCACAATGGTCGAATCTTATCTTGACCACCGACGTCCCAAACTGTGAAACTTATATTCTTGTACTCGACAGTTTCAACGTTAAAGCCTTGAACACAAAAGAAAAAAAATATATATAAATATATATACACACACATGTATTATTTATTCTCTTTATCCGACACTGATAATGGGAAACAGATCTTGGTCATCTACCGATAGTTGGGATGGTGGTAACAATTTCTCCCAGCTTCAGCTTGTACAAAATCGTTGTCTTTCCAGCAGCATCAAGACCCACCATAAGAATCCGCATCTCTTTCTTGCCAAAGACTTTAAAGAGGTTTGCAAATAGGTTGCCCATGTTTGAGAGATGCTTTTTTTCACTCCGCTGAAACTAAACAGGACAAAAAGTGAATTAAAAAGCCACTTCCCTCCAGCAGCACCAAGTGTGAAATACTTACTGACACAAATAGTGTGAAAAATCGTATGCGTGTGTACACTACTACACTTCACAGATACGAACAGAGGCTAAATTTTAATCTTCGTAATTCAAGTCGACATACTGATAAAACGTGATTCTCCAAGTGGATAACATGTAACGTTACATGACAACCGACTCTTTAAATAAACCAGGAAATGCTGTAAAAAGCTCTCACGACTGAATATAGAATCAAATATTTCAATAATAAAGCTGATATAACAACAGCTTGGAGAAGAATTTTAAAACAATATTTAATAATAAAGCCTGAGAGTGTTGAGGGGCAGTTTTACAGAACTTAGCTATTAGCTATATCTCATCTGTTTAGTTAAGCATAGCGATTTCAGTAACATTTCAGTAAAATATCAGGTTAACTTATTAGATCTGATCATCAGACGTTTTAGTAATATGTCCACACGTCTTAATAATAATTTAAAATAATAAGTCGATTAAACTAGTTTTTGTGGTTGACTAAAGCCTCTATAATACTCATACATAATTTTAATAATAATGTTGAGTTAGAGCAAGTTGATGCATTACATCATCTATACGATATTAGTTATTTGATAAGTGAAGTTGACTTTGGATTGTTGTTTCCTTTGTCGCAGACAGTCACATCTGACCGGCTTTAATTCAGTTGAACTCCGAAAATCTCCCACTAATCTTTTTTCACTGGTAACGCATCATACAAGCGTATCTAGCGTTTGTTTTCACCGTGGTTAAGATTTCGAATACAACACTTAAAGTTGAAATTAAATATATAAATGTATTTTTTTAAATGAAAAAAACTCACAGTTCAAGTTTCCTCAACTTCGAGGCGTTTCCTCCCTCAAGATGGCGGGTTTCCGGCCACGTCAGTGCGTCTTGCATCACTTCCGTCGAGAAGGTGATACATAACAGAGAACTCTGTAGGTCAGGTTTAGTACTACACGTGTGCATATTCTTTTTTTTTAAATTATGAATGCAAAAAAATACAGAGATGACATGTTTATTGTATACAACTGTGTATGAACAATATGTTAAATATCATCAGAATACAGAGAAGAAAAAAATAATGAACAACAATTGGCTAAAGACTGAAAAAGAAGAAGAAGAGAAGACAGAGAAAAATATTATGAGGGTAAGATATGTATGCATATACAAATTAAAGACATCGCATTTTTTTTTCACAATTAGGTCCAACATGCACACATCCATGTAAAAAAGCAGGTAATATGTGTCATTGGCTTTTGACTTATTTAAAATGTACTGTAGGCCTATTATGGTTGTATCGACGTAACATTTTCTTTCCAATTTCAAAATGATCCGAGAAATGGCAGTATTATCTTACGGTCTCAGCATTGATCTAGCCTATATTATACTGCCAATACAGATAGACAGATATAGGCACAATATATATATATATATATATATATATATATATATATATAAATAAAAGTGGTCATTTTGAAACTTTAATGAATTTTTTTTTTTTTTATTTGCAGAATGCAGGCTATATCTTATCTTTAACAGGTGCAGCTGCACGTTCGTTTAATTTAATCTGTTTTATCACCTTGGAAATGAGATGTTAAATCAAGCTAATTGCTCAATGATGACAATACTTGACAACTTATATTTAGACAAGCCCATTGTTTAATAATTTCACCAGATAAAAACTATAACTAACACATAAAAATTTATTTATTATTATTATCGCTTTGCAGCCATTTTAAGCAAATCATTGCATCTTATGCACACAAAGGCACTTATTCATGTGTGTCGCATCAAAGTATGTTGAAAGCAGAAAGCTGACTTTCCCCCAGACAGCTGTCTTTTCATGAGGCATTTCTCAAGGCCAGGTTAACAGCTGCTACACCTCTGGGGGTGGAAGTCTGGGACCTCGGGTCCAAGTCTCCTCCATGCTGGCACAGAAATATTAATACGCTGTTAGAGAAGCACAAAGCGTGATGGCAGGGCCATGTGGATACTAATGGCTGCTATAAGAACTATAATGTGACATGCCAACTATTGCTAAATCATTATCAAGTAGATTGATATTGATGTTGAAAACACAACCTACACATAAATTTATTTATTTCTCATAATGGGATGTTAGCATTAATAAAAAGCGACATAACCCACATTAACTATAACTACATTGCTGCATGCAAATGTAATGTCCTATTTAAAGTGGTAAACTAGTGGAAAAGCAATATGGTTTGACCATTATAAAGTTAAAGTTTAAGTTTACCACTTTATTGATCCCACAAGGGGCAATTATATTAGGGCAGTGGGCATCACATCACAAACTACAAAAACATACATTGTAAACAATCATATTTCACATACACATATCTACATTTCACAACATTCCAATGCACCTATGCTTTATAATAATAACAGAGCAGGAATATATAGGCCTCATATTGAATGGAATGAGATGTGCATTTTATATCCAAAAACTAATGAACCAAGGCTGTTTGGGAGGACCTAAGTTGTTTTTTAATCATTTATTGATTTATGTGTTGATTTATTTTTTTGCGAGAAGTGTTGTTTCGGTTATTGGTCTATTTGCAACTATTTGCAAATAATATTTTATTTTAAAATATGCACACATTCTCAACTCTTAATCATATGTCTAATATGTAAAAAATGCTAAATGTTTCTTGTCTCGTTCACATTCAGTTATGAATTACATAAATCATGTAGGCCTAAATAATAGCATGTTTTCAATTCAAAACAGCAAAAGTTCATTAAAAAGTTGAGAGTTTGCATCACTGGATATTACTGTGTGTCAGTCAACATTTGTATTGTAAAACAGTTGCATCTTTCCACACGCTGCTAAACCAAGCACCACGTTGAATTTCACAGTTTGGCAGTTTGGATTTCTAATTATTAGGAGGAATTTGTCCACCTCAATGTCTATATTGGTTAAGGCCCTGAAATTAACATGCATTTTACACAAAAAATGTGATTAAAACAGTAATATTCATAAAAATGTATTTTAAGGGTCATTCCTGGGATTCGATGCCTTTTGTGTCCCCAGTAAAAATCATGATCCTAGTGCCTTAAAATGTTGAACAATATCAATCTTAAACCTGCATTAGTCAGAAATTACACCTTTTGAACTCTAAGCATATTGAAGTTGATTCAAACAAATATTTGAATTTTGAACCACCACATATCACATAACGATACTGGTTACTAACGTAACCTCGGTTCTCTCTAGAAGAGGGAACGAGTATTGCGTAAGTTTAGCTTACGCTACGGGAAAGATTCATCTTCTCGAGATATTGAAGCCAAAAAATTATCCTTAATTTTGTATATGTTGTCAACGCAGTGCAGCAGCTAGCAGACCTAGAGCGGACATTCTAGCGCGCTCATAGGCTGCTCTGCGGGAACTGCACAGCCTACCAGTGAGCCCAACGTGACGTCACGTCCGAGCGCCCTCGCCGCGTCCTAGCCCGCCAGAATGGGCGTGGCTTAGCGTATATAAGCGGGGCTCGGAGGCTGATTCTCTGGTTTTCATCAACTGAAGCGAAATAGCGCTTGTGCCGTTTAGCACGGCAGGTTACGCAATACTCGTTCCCTCTTCTAGAGAGAACCGAGGTTACGTTAGTAACCAGTATCGTTCTCTTACGAGAGGTTCTCTCGTATTGCGTAAGTTTAGCTTACGCTACGGGAACCCATTGTCCACGCCGTGCGCGCCCGCATCCACCTCATGAGTCACAACGCTTCTGTGAACCCAGAAAGTGGGAACAATACGCATGTACATAAGTGCGTGTAAACAAGCACTGACAGGCAATACAGAGCGGCCGTGTGTGGCCGGTGTATAGGCATATATAGCACATAACCTGAAACAGCGCAGCTCAACCAGAAGAGCTGAATTCACGTGAGGGTAGTCTGCGCATGATAGTATCTGGACAGGGCTAGCCTCTCACTTAAACAGACAGCAGTTTCGCCTGCAGGGCGGGAACTTCTAGGTTATAAAACCTGACAAAGGTGGACGGGGAGGACCAGCCCGCCGCCACACATATGTCTTGAATGGAAATTCCACTTGACCATGCCCACGACGAGGCCACGCCTCTAGTGGAATGAGCCCTGATGCCCAAGGGGCACTGAAGACCTTTTGCCGTTTAAGCGGCTGCGATTGCGTCTACTATCCACCTGGACAGGCTCTGTTTCGAGGAGGCGAGACCTTTAGCGCGCCCACCGAACGAAACAAACAGCTGCTCAGAGCGCCTGAATGGGGCGGAGCGCGTAATGTACAATCTCAGAGCTCTGACTTAACATCCCTTTCACTATCGGATGCTGGCAGAGCCGATAGAGAAATGACCTGTGCTCTGAATGGGGTGCCAACCACTTTGGGAACATAACCATGTCTAGGCTTGAGGATGACTTTAGAGTCATTCGGGCCAAACTCAAGACACGACGCGCTTACAGACAGCGCGTGTAAATCCCCTACGCGTTTGACTGATGACAGTGCGATCAGAAAAACAGCTTTGAGCGACAGGTATTTCAGGTCCGCTGTGTCAAGGGGTTCAAAGGGGAATGCTTTCAGGGCCTCTAGGACCAGTGAAAGGTCCCACATAGGAACCGAGGGGGGGCGCGGGGGGTTCATCCTTCTGCCTCCTCTGAGGAAGCCGATGATAAGCTCGTTTCTGCCTATTGACTGGCCATGCATTGATTCAGAGAATACTGCGACAGCCGCCACATATACTTTGAGGGGGGGGATCTGCCCCTATCCAGCAGCTCCTGAAGGAAACTGAGCAGCCGCGGGACCCCACACGTTCACGGATCCAGGTTTTTGTTAGTGCACCACTTAGAGAACACAGACCATTTGGACGCGTAGAGCCTTCTGATAGAAGGTGCTCTAGACTGCGAGATTGTGTTCATTACTGCGTCTGGCAGGGATACCCGTTGATCACACACACGTGTAGCGACCAACGCTCCAGGTGGGGATGCCAGATCGAGCCGCGCGCTTGAGAGAGGAGGTCTGCTCTCAGCGGGACAGGTCATGGGGCTGTCTGTGACAGCCGCATTAGCTCTGGGAACCACGTCTGGTTCTCCCATCGTGGGGCTATGAGGAGCACTGAATGGCGCGTTTCCCTGATTCTCTTGATCAAAATTTCTTGAGGAAATGCATGTAGCGGACGGCTGGGCCACGTCCGGGCAAGCGCTTCCCTGTCCTTTGAAAAGAACGTCGGGCAGTGAGCGTTGTCTTGTGACGCAAAAAGGTTGACTTCCGCTTTTCCGAAAAGGTGCCATAATAACTGGACTGTTTGGGGGTGCAGGGACCATTCTCCCGGGGAAACTATGTCCCTGGACAGTCTGTTGGACGCATCCGTCGAGATGACCTTCCTGTATGAGACCGCCCCCATAGTCACTCCCCTCTGGTACCAGTCGGCCGCTGACCAGGGCTGCAGAGTTGTGATACAGCTCTGAGTCACTCTGATCCGCTCGCGACCCGACCTCCAAGCTCGGTGTGGCACACGCGCGGCCAGCCAGTGCTGTAGCGGGCGCATGCGTAGTAAACCTAGCTGGAGTACTGCCGAGGCTGAAGCCATCAAGCCTAGCATCCTCTGGAATTTTTTCAGAGGGGAAACGCTGCCCGCCGTGAATGACGCGCGCGCTGTGTAGACAGGCGAGCCGTCATGGTCACTGAGTCCAGTTCTATTCCTAAAAAGGAAATTGACTGACTGGGCAGTAATGAGCTCTTGGTCCAGTTGACCGTGAGACCTAGGCATTTCAGATGGCTGAGAAGTGCAGTTCTGTGAGATATTAGCTCTGTCTCTGACTGTGCTAGAATCAACCAATCGTCCAGATAGTTCAAAATTCGCACGCCCTGAGTTCTCAAGGGGGCGAGAGCCGCGTCCATGCACTTCGTGAAAGTACGGGGTG